TTCTTTCTTTGCATGTCAAATTTTTTTTGCGCTCTTTCTTTTGTATTTCTGTTTCATTACGATTACGTTTTCTCAATCTACCATTCTCTTGTCTAATTATTTTCTGTTCATATGTAACTTCGCGCGTTGCCTTCCCTTTTCCTTAATTGCTAGAATTATCTTTTTATCAATTTCTTCACTCAGAAAATTCTTCATTTCTGAATATTCAAGTGGTGAAATTTTGTTCATCTTATTATTAGTTGTACCAATTATTTTCTCTTCACTAGTGTCATTTAGAGAATGTTTAATTTCTAAATATTGTGTTAATAGAACTCTGTTAATATTATTGCTGGGAAAAGTATTACAACAGAACAAGGGTTTAAAATATTATTTTTTAGTTCCTGAGCTCGATTTATGAAAAGACGGTTCCAATCATTCTTTATTATCGAATTCCTATTGTGAGACGTTCTTATTGACGGAAAATGATTTAAGCGATTATTTTCAAACATTGACTTTAAATGATTTCTCATTCTGTTATTATCAGTTTCATAATTTACGCTGCTTGACATTACGTTAAAAAATATAGATGTTGCAAATGCTATTGCATATACTCCACACTCAACACTCCCAAAAGGTTATTGATCAACAACTACAAAAACTACTGTTGGTTTAAAAGGGAACAATCTAATTAAATATTTCATTTGATGCACATTTAAACACCCCTCATTAAGGCTATAAAAAGTATAAAGCCTTACTCAATCGTAATAGACACAAATCCAATGACCATAATTGTTATTACCGCTAAAAAGTATTTGAATATGTTTTTCACCTTCTCTAATTGGGACAATAAAATCAAGCATTTGTACATACAAAGTACTTTGCATATTGAAAAAAGAATTGGAATCTTTTCTTAATAAATCTTTAAATTTGTACATATGCATGTCATTTAACAATTTATTTCTATTTTTAACAATTTTTAAATCTTCATCACTTAAAATAACATACTCTTTTATGATGGCCATAGTATACTTCGTTTAATTTTATTTTTGATTCATGAAAATCTAAATATCTTTAATCCTTTCGCTCACTCTCTCCAATATAACAAATTTTGACTTTTATTAAATATAACCAATTTTGCCTTTAATTCAATATAACAAATTTTGCCTTTTATCCAATACAACTACCAATATCCAATAGAATGAGAGAACTATGAATGAGTAACTACTGATCAGCCAATAAGTACAAAAGGACACTCTTATATGATTAATCAGTAGTTCATTACAGATACCATATATACATATATACACTTGTATTAAAACCCCGGATTAATTACCACAAAAAAACAACCCTTGGACAATAGAACCTTTGTTAAATAATCAATGAGAATTAACTCTGAGGACCCAGGTAATAATTTCTTTTCTCCTATTTATTACATGGAAAAATACCCTTGGACAATAGAACCTTTGTTGATAAGGATTAACTCTGAGAACCTAGGTAATAATTTTTAAATTTTTTTATTACAATTTTCAGGGACTCTAATACAGGTATGCACATATATATATATATAGATATATATTTATTTTTATTTTCAAAACAAAAAGGAAGAAGATTAAGATTTTAGACGAAGATATTCTTATGCCATTTTGAATTGTCTAGATAGAGAAACGCAATGTTAAACGAAGAAGTACTTATGTTATATTCCTTGGTGTAAGAAAGAAAGGTATGCGTTACCTTTTCAGTTTTAGACTTTCTTTATAGTTTTTTCACGTGATAAAGGGAGAAAGAAATTATTACCTGGGTCCTCAGAGTTATTAATTAATCCTCTTTAAAAGATTGCAGGTCAAGCGAACCCTCATTTGCAAAATAAAGATATATCTTTCTCTCTCCATAACTTGTTCTTTTCTCTGTCACCGAAAACCCAGCAGGGGTCCGGACGGAATGAATGAATGAATACCAAGATTATTATAGTTAATAATATGTAACAGCGGTTCAAAGGCTACTTCTACTTTGGGAAATGTTTCATTTCCTGGGGAGTCAAATAAGATTGACCCAAATACCTCAACTTCCGGAGAGGTCTTGAATGAAGGTATCATCACAATATTCACAAATATCTGTATAACATCCCATAGATATACTTATTTTCGGATACTCATAACATGTCCGTGGAATATTTTAAATTCATTGGTAAAAATTTCGCTACTTCATATTAATTTACTAATTAAAATAGTATTTTTATTTTTAAAAAAACATTTTCTACTAACAATTACTATTTTCCGACCTAATTTTCGCGTATATCCTTAAAAAGTGTGTAGAATATCCTGCATATCTGTGGATGCTGTGAGGGAAACATTTTCTATCAACAAAATATTTATTCTGTAAATTAAACCTACTTTAACAAAAACACGTAATATTTGAATTGATTTTATATAAATGGATAAATAAAATCAGCTTTTGAAAAAATTCAACTTAACCTGGTTATTTCATTTTTTAAGTAGAAATTTTATAAACAATCGTTACCAAAATTGTTTTATTTGCAAATTTAGTTTGAGATTTCAGACAGTTAGGAATTGAAAATGATCATTCTCTATACACCCTGCTTAATATTTAAAGCATTTAAAGTTATAAAATAGAATAAAAGTATATTTTTTAAATTTGCCTGTAATACATATTGTGTTGTATCTTTGAAAGTTGTTGAATCAGAACTTTTCTATTCAGGGGAAGATTTTTCACAAGAACAAGTGGCTTACCTACCTCTCGATGCAAATGATATTGCATTCCAAGAAGATGCAAGGAATTATGAATCTAATGATAAAGAAATAGATTTTTTACATTTGATAGACATTGATGAAAATTTGAATATATTGCAAAACAAAAGTACAATTCAAATAGAAGTTTCGAAGGAGGATACATATCCGAAAGAAGTTTCTCAAAACGTCGTTAAAGAGACTGCCCTGTTGGATGAATTGGAAAATTCTTCTCATAATAAAACTCAGCACGAAACTAATTTCAACGACTAAAATTTATCTTTGACATTCTCAAACTTTGCTCCTTCGGAATCTGCACATAAAAATATGGACCAATATCAGCTTCGAGATCAAGAATCATTAAGGGGGGAACACCAGTTGTAACTTTCGAAAAATCGATTTTTTTTGTGCATTTTCTTAAAGTATACATATTTAGAAATGTGTCTGTAAATTTTAAAGTTGATCCGGTGAAAAATAAATGAGATATACAGAACACTGCAGCGGCGCGTCCCGTGGCTTCATACAAGGTGGCCAGCCATACCTGACCCTAACGACAGATGGCCTTTTCCTATGATTTAGAAACGGCAACCACTGCGGAAGAGTTATTATATGGTCCAGGAATCGATGACTCTTTGTAACTTGGAAACAAAATTTCTTCTGAACAAAAAAAAGTAAGTTGAAACTTTGAATGCGTTTTTCTCAAAATGACATTTTCCAAGTCGGTGACCACGATTACTCGAATACCATTAAACCGATTTATTTAAAATTTAGTGTGCTTCATTTACTCATATAAGTCTAGTTCGTGATCGAAGGATTTTTTTTTATGCAAAACTTTTTTTTATATAGCTGAAAATCGACCGTATTTTTTTAACGAAAATCATACTTTTGACTTTGACAGGTCGCCATTTTGTCAAATTTTTTTTTTTAAATCCTTCGACCACGAACTAGATAATCTTATAATAAATGTAAATCAATTTCATTTTTTTATTTCAGACGAAGTATACTTGCAGAATGCTGGTCACCGCAATTCGCCTTTTTTCTTAAGACGCCACTTCAATGGCTCATATCTCCAAAAGTTTTTGTTAAAAAAATTTTTTTTTTCTTTTAAATTACAGCTTTTTACATGTACTTTTAACTAATAAATAGTATTCTTTAAAAAGATTCATTGTTCTTTTGGAAAATATTCTTGAAAAAAGCATTATTTTTTGAGTTACAACTGGTGTTCCCCCCTTAACTCCCAAATACTAGTACCTTCATCAATGCCACTCTCTTCTCAACATGAAATTACGTGGCCAATAGCACCTCCTCGTAAAGAAAACATTAATAGTTTACATGTATCTTCGGCATCGGCAAACTCTTCTCGTGATAAAATTCATGATGAAAATATAGGGTCAAAAGAATCTACTTTAAAAAAAACTGACATCAACTCAAATCTCAAATGTTCAACAATTTTTAAAAAAGGGAAGTACTATGTACCTACCGCGAATGAAATTGATGAAGATAATTTGAATAAAAGACTTCAGATTTTAAAAAATGCTAGCATTACTTCGAAGCAAAAAAATGTAATTGTGCCACCATTGGATGATTTTGCTCTTAAAAAACTGAATAAAAGTAAAAATTCCAAAGTTGAAGAAGCTATTGTCAGTTGCTCGAACAGAATAGAAGCCCTAATTGAATTAAATATGAAAGTTGCCGAAAAAAAAATTAACGAGAATTCACTGGAATCAAATAGTCACATGGTATCAGCAGTTTCTGCTGATGGTTTTCTGAATCTGTTAGAAGAAGAGTGGCTTACTCTTTCCATTGAACAACAAAATGAATTGTTCAAAGTAATTTCAGTATTTACAAATTAAAAGATAAGACTGAGAAAATTGGTATGCATAATTATAATTACATAATAATCATGTAACTAAATAAAAATTGTCGTAATAAACGTAATGAAGTAAGAAATTAGTCAGAAGAATATTCATGAAATGTATTTATTAGGACCAAAAAATTTTCTTATTTCAAATAAAAACATTGTACCTTAAATATAAATTGTTCTGAAATTCGCTGAAACTATTTTTATTACAATAAATAATCGGTCTTCAAAGAATTAAGAGTCATGCGATCCGAGGCCTGTAAAGTACAAGAAGAGCATAATAAAATTAACAAAAATCTTCATTTTTTCAGTGTTTATTATTAAAAAAAATCCTAATTTTTGAAAGATATGTAAGTTTTTCAAAAATTTGTAAATGTTAATATAAGTAAAACATAATTTTTTCTTTCTTGCAGTAATTAATGATGAACAAAATAATTTGTTAATAAATTTCGCAGTGCATTTTCGTCGATGTCATCGTTACCCATAACATTCTCGCGGTCATTTAAAGGAATTTCGTTATCGATGATATATCCTTCATTTTCTGATGCTCTATTTTGCCGACTGAAGTGATTCATCTGTCTTTCTAGAAAATAGAGACGAAATTCTTCATCAGCGGCTAGTTCCCTTGTTATTATAAAATTGTGCAAGCACACTAATGCCTGAACTATGGCAATCGATGTTTCTAATTTGAAACACATCTTCGATTGCAAAATCTTCCATCGAGATGTCAGAATGCCAAATGCGCACTCTATTATTTGTCGTGCATGAGACAATCTGCAAGAAGTAATATAATTTTTTATGTACTAAAAAAACTTTATAATAAGAAATTAGCCGTTTAATAATTTATTTAAATTTAATAATTTTAATAATTAATAATAATAATAATAATAATTTATTATTATTTTTTACCGAAAAGGAACTTGATCTTTTATACACTTAAGATTATTTTTTTGTTTATTAAAATATTTCTGAAACAGAGTGCGTCTACAGACTGAAAAATGCGGGAAATTTTCAGGCATGTAAAACAACCTTCAACAAATTCCAGAAATGTTAACAAAATATAAATATTTATTATCAATCTTATTAATTATATTTCATTTTTAAAAAATTTTCTTTTATAAAAACACTTTATGTTAAAAAATACGTTTATTGATAAACTATCAATATATACCATGCTTTTATGAAATAATTTGTTTTGAGAATTTTTTATTGTAACCGGAAAATGACCTGCAAATGACCAGGAATTTCTTTTAATGTAAAAATCAAATACCTTGATTTTCCAAAAAAATGAAAAAATCTTTAACTGTGTAAAAATTTTTAATTTCAAAGATTAAAAATATTTTTAAAACTAGATTCTAAATGAAAATTTTTTTGGCAATAAAAAGGAATTAAATTGACTTTTTGAAATCACTCTTCTTAAAAATTACTATTAAAATTTGTAAATTTTAGTACAATTATGGTTATTAATTCTTAATGAAAAACAAATCAGGAAAAAAATTAGATTAAGATCCGCAAAGTAACGGTGAATTTAAAAATGATAATTCGCTACACACTTTGCTGCAAAAAATTAATTAATTAAAATTAAACAAAACGAACATTTTGGTACTATTTGGAATGATCTATTTTGTCAAATTCCTTGTTAAATTTGGAAAAATTGAAATTCTCTTAGACCCTTTTAGATGAAACATTGGCAAAATTTCAAAATTCGAAGCTGGAAGTTCCAAAACATTAGTTTTGAGAAAAACAAGTTTAAAGCTAATATAAAATTAAAAATAAATTTTTCATTGTTTATAATTGCGGAAAAATTATGAAAAAGGCATGAATCAACGTAGGACAAAGCATTACACTTTATCGGGAATTTAACTTAGGGTGAAATATTATACAATATTTATTGAGAAATATTTGTTCTGTAATAACTTACCGATAATTGAACAATTCCTGCAAGCGTGTGAGAGGTCGATTTCGCCTGTATGGTACCATTATATATGGCCTTAAGGAAAAAATTCCATCCCCAATTATGAAATAAGTAGAAATATCATTCGAGTGTGGTAAGTAGGTCGGATTTGGCAAATTGGTCAAATTTCTTTCTAATCTCCGATAAAACTCGGTATGCTGGAAGGCTGAAACATTACTGACACTACCTACAATTAAAAGCAAAAAGATTTTTACTGTAATTTTATTATTCAGTGGTACAAAATGAGTAAAAATACTGGATCTTTTAATAGAATTTTTTCCAATATACTTACCATAATCTCCAATATCTACCCATGAAAAACGACAAAAAGCGTTGCACATGGCCATTAGTTTAAAACTATGAAACTTTTTATAGTTAAAATAAAGGCTGCCAGAATTCGGTGGTGCCTTAATTTCAATTTCCTTGCCGTCCATAGCCCCAATGCAATTTGGCATGTCCCATTTTGCCCTAAAACCTTGGGCATTCACCATCCAATCCTCAGCAACTAAATTTCCCTTTAAATATAAAGGTTGCAGACATTCCCATATAATCGGGCAAACTTCTGCAATTATGCTATAAGCAGTCGAAAAGCCTATTCGAAAATAGTTGCTGGTCGTGTACAAACTGTCACCATGGGCAAGAACACTGAAATTAAATTGTACAATTCTATAAATATCTTGAATTTTAAATTATAATATTTTGTAATAAATACAATGTACAATTTAATTTTACGGTAGGAATTAAATTTTTTTATAAAGTTTCAAAAAGCAATGGTTTATCTTGCCACGTGATACATTCTCTACAAATCGATTTTTCTAATTTTATTTAAATGTTGTCAAGTTTTTTTTGTAATTAATTTTTAACACAGTAAAAAAAGTCGAAACATTAACAAAATCAATGTGAACCCTTGTCAAAAAATTCCGCCGAATATCTCCGCGTAGTGTCTCCACGGAATTTCCGCGAATACTCCGCAAAAATTTTTTGTGAATTTCAGATAAAAAAAATTTCGGCGTATTTTCCGCAGTCAATCGACGAAATTTTTTACACATTATCACTAGGAACAAAATTGATCATTAAATTAAAAAAAAATTCTTTACGACGTATCAATAATATTTTTAGCTAAAATATATTATAGGAATGTTCACTGACAGTTAATCCAAGTAATCAGACCATAATTAAAGTGATTTTTAATTTTTAAGTCCATTAGTGATAGCTCCGATTTACATGATGATGGAATTTATTGTTTAATTAAAAGAAAAAATTAATCGGAACGTGACAATAATTTTTTTTTATAAAAAGCTTCTAAAAATGACGATTGACAGTTAACTCAAGTTGTCAGACCATTATTAATTAGATTTATAACTTTTACACACAATAATAATATAGCTCTAAATTGCATTAAGATTGAAATTATTGTTTAATTTTTTTAAAAAAATTACTGGGGAAGTGGCAATAATTTTTTTGGCTAAAATAGGTTCTAGAAATGATGACTGACAGTTAACCCAATTAATCAGACCATAATTGAACGAAATTTTAATTTCTAAAGCCAGCAACGTAAATCGTAATTTGCATGAAGATTGAAATTTTTGTTTAATTTTGTTACAAAGAATACCAGAAATATGTCAATAATTTTTTTGGCTAAAAGAGGTTCTAAAAATAACCACTGACAGTCAGTCAGACTACACAGAGAAAATCTGAAAGCACTGAGTATTTTTTCTCACATCACTGGCTACTGTGGAAACCAAAAAATTAAATTCCAAAACTCTGAATGTTTTTTGCACAGCACTCAATGCTCTGCAGAAAATAATCACTATTTTTTTGACAGTTATTAGAATTTCGGTTTATATTAATGGACAACAGAGTTTTCAAAGCTAGGAATATAGCAATAAATTATTCGCTCGAAGTAGTGACTGCTTTCCTCACAGCTCTGAGTACTGTGTAGAATTATTTTTTAGGATTAAAAAAAATAAAAGAACATTTAACCTTTAATAAAAAATAAGTAACAATTTTAAACAAGCGTTCAAGACTATTTTAATCAATTTTAGATGTTTTCTTATATTTTTATGAAAAACAAATTATTTGACTAAAATTATTTATATTTAATTAAATAAGAAGTAATAAACTTTAATAATATTAAACAAATTACTTTTTATTAATAAACGTACGAAATAATAATTTTTATTACTTCACGAGATAAATATTTAAATTAATAATGTTGAAACTTAATAATTTTTAATCATAATTATCTATAAATTTAGATTAGGTTGTAATTTGATATTAGCTAAGAAATCTTAAAATCTTAAAACTTGTGAAATACAAATAAATATTTAAAATTTACCTATAATAATTGATTTTAAAAATAATTATTTATTATTTCATTATTGTATAATAACTTTATTTGCTACATAACTGAAAAATTAAAAAAAAGCGATAGTTTTCAAAAAGACTTTTTGAAGTCTTCATTTCTTTATATCTATTATTCATTAACTGTTTATAAACATGTCAATTAAAATCAATATTTGAAAAGAAAAAATAACCATGGCTATCTTCTTTTAAATTGACGTTAAACGTTCCTTTGTTTTCTAAATTCTTAAAAATAATTCTGCACAGTACTCAGAGCTGTGGGAACAGCAGTCACGACTTCGAGCAAAGAATTTATTGCTACATTTGTAGTTCTAAATAATCTGTTGTCAACTAATATGAAACGAAACTCTCTTTACTGTCAAAAAAAGGTGTGATTATTTTCTGCAGATCATTCAGTGCTGTGTGGAGAACATTCAGAGTTTTGAAATTTAATTTTTTGGTTTACACAGTAGCCAGTGATGTGAGAAAAAATACTCATTGCTTTTAGATTTTCTCCGTGTATTATTCAACTGATTTTTAATTTTTTAGTCAAATAATAATATCTCAAGGTTACATGAAGATTGAAATTATTGTTCAATTTAAAAAAAAAATAATGGCGACATGGAAATAATTTTTTTGTAGCTAAAATACGTTCTAAAAATGACGACTGACTATTAACTTGAACAGTCAGATCATAATTGAACTGATTTTAAAAAGATATTTAATTTTTTAAACCCAGCAGACTATAGCTCCAATTTTCATCAAGATTGAAATTATCGATTAATTTTTTTAAAAATTTACAGGTGACGTGCCAACAATTTTTTTGGCTAAAATATGTCCTATCCATGTGAAAGAATTCCGCGGTGTGTCTGCGTGGAAATTCCCCAAAAGATTTTTGTTCAACTAATGTTTACAAAAAAAAAAAATTTTTCTGCAGAGTTTTCGCGGAGCCACTAAAAGCGGAATCACTCCTCGGAATTTCCGCAGGGGTTTTTCTGAATTTTTTCACATCGGAATTTAGAAGTTCTTTGATATAACCAAAAACTATCTGCAGGAGAGACCAACTGACTTCGTCCTGATTTTATTACAGTCCTTTCGTTAAGTCTGAAATTTTTTGACAACAGAAAACGAGGATTTTTTACATATGTTATACAATTCAATTTTAAATTTCTTGAAAATTCAATTGTAATATATGAAATTTCCAAAAAAATTTTCATCAATTCCAATGTAACAGAAATTTAAATAAAAATTTTCTGAAATTCAATTATTGCATGAAACTTGAAGAAAATATTTAAAAAATTTAATTTATTATAATTATAATAAAAATGTTAACTGAAACATTTCTAAAAACAAAGACTGTAATTTTTAAAAACATTTAATATGTTTATAATTTATATTTCAATATTTTCTATTGATTTATGATAGTTTATGATTATGAGATATACCGATTTTTATTTAATGAATTAAAAAATTCCAAACATTTTTTTAAAATTTGGTAAAATAAGTTTTAAATATATTAACAGTTATGAGAAATCAAGTTTATTCAGTTTGTGCAGCATAAGTCTATTTTTGCATCCATACAATAATGTCACTTGATCAGGAAAATTGGTTTACATTAAAAAGATACTACTAAATACTTTTGTGATACATTGTTTTACATTGTACAGCGACATTTAAGTTCTGCAAAAACTGGCTCAATTATTCAAGTATTTTCAATTATTTGTCAATTAATTTCACTTTTCTGAAATCATTTTCATTTATTGCTTCTTCATGGAGAAAGTATTTCATAAATCCTGTGAGATTTGCAAGTTTTCAATACCATTATTTTTAATACCCTGATTATACATATAAAATTTTGCAATTAAATTTTTTAACTTCGTTAAATCAAATACTTTATATATTCTATCTTTGAAATTAACAGTAAAACATGCTCTTATTAATTAACAAATTCATTCTATAAATAACTGTAATTTTGAGTAAGAAGGAAAAAGCAGTGCAAAGTTAGTAATTTGAAATTTACGGAAATGTAGGTAATTAGAAGAATTAATTTTAGGTATAAGATTTTATAATATTTCCTGACTTTTCTAAGTTCAGTTAAAGTTTTTCCCAATTGAAAAAAAAATTTCACGACAATTATAGTTTTTCCAGAAACTCAGCAACCTTATCAATCCTTAATATTTTCAATTATAACCGTTTCTATTAAACTAAAATTTTCATAATAATTGAAAATAAAAATATTTTATAAAATTTTAATAATTAAAAGTTATGTTTTCCAATTCATATTATGATTTCAAGTCAAGGTAAAAAATAAATTCAAGGCGAATTTTAGGTGTTTTTATGGTCTGCAGGACTTACTGGAGTTTTTGAATTTTCTATAGTAAATATTTATAATAAAAAGTACAAAAAAATCTTAGCGAATGTTTTATAGAGCAAAATGAATTTTTATTGTATATTTAAATTGGATAAAAATTATAATTGACAAAAGAATTTTAAGTACAAGCAAAAAATTTTAAATATTTTTTAATCTACAGCAAATTTTAACTTTAAATAATTTTTTCTGTAAATTGTACAAATAATTAATACTTTATACTTACTTTAAAGTAATAACTAAGCGAAGTCTAGTAGACAATGGCTGTCTCCAACTACGCTTTTCCAACCGGTGTCTGATCAATTCGTGTAATTCTTCGAATTGCTGGACACTCATCCGCACCATTCTTCGAAAACTTTCGTGGTCCTGCATTAAAAAGTTTTCAAAAAGACCATCATAGGCCCCAAACATTTCTCTCACTTGATCTCAAATGTGAGTCTTGACCCACCATCGACGAAACACTTCCTGGTTTATCGTTAAATACATCCGAATTAAATTAAACCAATGGATGCAAACTAGCAACAATGTCATTAAATCCTCCATTTTTCAAAATAACAATAAACAAAATATTTAATTATAACCCCAGAGCACAAAAACTTACTAAACACGGAATATTTAATGAACAGTTACTGTATACACTTTTAGCAGTTGGCAACACTACATTACTAACGTTAGAACCAACGCGCGCGTCATCTTTGCGTGCGCTTTAACTTTGCGTTTAGCTATTGTGGAATGGACCTGTAGCAGTCCAAGAACTGAATTGAACGTCATGAATGTTTTGTTCTTCCAATAATTCTTGTATGCGTTGTTTAAAGTCGGTAATATCTGGACATTTCTGGCGTTCAACAAGAGAACATTCTGCACTGGGGTTAAGACAAGTAATTTGTTGTAAGCAATCTTTATAATCGCATATTGGTGTTTCTAAATTTTCAGTAAGTTTAATAAGGTTAATAGAGTCCAACATCAACTTGCAATTTTGGTGAATGGTACAAACGCAAACGGAGTGAGTTCCAGTACCACCAGCAAGTATACACTGTTTTGGACGTAGTTCGGCAAACTTACTAAAGCCAACAGGGTAATCAGGGTTGCTTTCTTTAAATTTTAAAAAAAGAACCTTCAAATCTAATAGAAGAAGCCGTTTCTGCAGTAAGCAACGTTCATCATTATTCTTTACAGAAACGACATCTTTCATACCAAGCATCATTCTACTGACCGTATCACTATTATAAAAATCTACAACTTTCTCTACAGTCAATTTGGGTAATAGTTTACCACTCTTAGAAGTTGTTTCTGCTAAAATGCTCTTCCCGTCTCTTAGATCTTTTGCTTTTTTAGAAAATTTCCAACTACAGTTAAATTCAGTTGAAATCTTCTTAGCAGACCATGATTTTGGGACAATAGTGAGAATCTTTAATCTCAGAGGATCATTTTTTCCAAGTGTAGCAAATTTTACTTTCAAGTCGCTTAGCATGCCTTCTAACTCAAGTTCTCTTTCCGAACGTATGTCTGCGGAACATATAACAGAAGCTATTTCATTATCTTGAGCAGAAACATTCTGATCTATGTCCACATCCATTTGACTTGCGTCCAATGAATTTTCAGACATGCTAGAGTTTTCTCTACTAATTGAAGCATTATTACTTCTTTTTCTTCATTCAGAACAAACTCTTGCATTATCTGGAAGATGAGGGAATTTGCGTTTCAGATTTGCGGATACACTTCTTAAATTCTTACCTTTGTGTCCCACGATTTCATAAGGATTGATACATTTGTCAGTATGACATTTTATATTTTTAGGCATATTGGAAATATAATTAAATATAACTAAACTAAAACACTTAAACAAAAAAATACAATTTACAATTTTTATAAACAGTAGAACTAATAACTGATTAACCTAAAATAAGAATGAACAACAGAAAGAAAAATGCAATTCACAATTTTTAAAATCAGTATGCTTTTAAAAATCAAGTAATGTTTATTAATGCACAAATTAGACAATAAAATAATAGAAATAAATCCGACAATGCGTCAATTGAATAAAAGCATAGAATGAGTCAAATGCATAAAAATAACTGAGATTTCTAAAAAAAATTATCAAATTCTTAAATTGAATAAAAGATATAACACAGTTAAATAAAGAAATCTAACTGTTAAGTGAATCTTGCAGTCTGGGGGATAACAGAACTAACAGAAACCGCAAAAATTATACCATGAAAAAAATGCAACAGACCATGCGTCTATATAATAATACAAGAAACAGAGTCAACTGCACAACTTTGAGAACAATATGAATTAAATCATCAACTGTATCTAAAATGCTGTTGATATCAAAGGCAATAAGATTACTGAATTAAATCGTCAATTTCAGCTGAAATACTTCTGAAATCAAAGGCAATAACATTACCGCAATAAATCAGCAATTGCAGCTGCAATGCAGCTGAAACTATAGACAATGAAATAAGTCAGCAAATCAAATAAAAGCATAACCAGAGTCAAATGGAGAAATTTAACTATAAAGTGAATCAGCAGTCTATGGAATAACAGAACAAACAGACACTTCATGAATTAAACCATGAAATAAAAAACATTAGCACTTGTGTCTATCTAATAACACAAGAAATTTGAGTAAACTGCTCAAATTTGAAAATAATATGTTTGAGATTTCTCTGAAAATTACAAATATACTACAAAAAACCAAGAAGTCAAACACTGTAGTATCGTTTTCTATTTAAGAACTCGCGTCATCCCAAGTGAAACTGTACGAAGAATTTTTGCAGACTTTCTTCAAATTTTCTGCCTACTTTCCGCTGACATTCTGTGGACTTTACGCGGAAGTTCGTCAGATTTTCAACAGGCTTTATTGCAGACATTCCGTAGACTTCTTGCGGACTTCCTGCAAACTTTTCGCAAACTTTCCACCGACTGTAGTTTGCTGAAAGTTTGAGGACATTTTCCCTTAGGATGCTGGAGGACTATTGCTGCTGCTTATACTGTTCCGACAATGTTGATTCCTCACATTAAAAGAACAGTTGACGTATGGAAATCCTATACTCTATCCGCTTGTTTAAAATTTCAAAATTAGATGTTAGATTCGGAATCAGCGACCTAAAAAACCCCAACAAACAAGTTTCAAGTAAATCGCACAGATTTTTCCAAAATTGTCCGCCATATTGGATCCACCATTTTGAATTTTAAAAATCGGTTGTCAGATTCTTATTCAGCAACCCCGAAAACCACAGAGTGACAAGTTCTATAAGTTTTTGATTACATTTTTTTCGTTTTTTTCATTTCGGTGGTCATATTGGATCCGTCATTTTGAATTTTGAAAATTAGATGTCGGATTCGGAATCAGAGTCCCAAAAAACCCCTAACTAATAAGTTTCAAGTAAATCGCACATATTTTTCCAAAATCGTCCTCCATATTAGATCCGCCATTTTGAATTTTAAAAATCAGTTGTCAGATTCTTATTCAGCAACCCCGAAAACACCAGAGTGACAAGTTTTAAGAGTTTTTGATTATTTTTTTCGTTTTTTTTCTTTTCGGCGGTCATACTGGATTCGCCATTTTGAATTTTAAAAATCGCCACTTTGCATTTAAAAGTAGACAAAATAAGCTAAATTTTAAGCTATAATAAAGCTTTTTACGTTAAAACCAATTTTGGACAGGGGGGGTCTTCCATTGACGTGGAATGCCTCATATATATATTATTATTATATTTATTATATATTGCAATTCTCATAAAATTTTAATTTCGATTTATTTTAAGGTTCCGTTTTTCCAAATTCTCCTTTAGATAATTCGAATATACATTAATTGGCGCAATGTTTCAGGTGTAGAATCTGAAAAGTTTGTATCAAAAATTCTTCCCTATTCGCCTTCATAATTTTGAACATCGGAAAATTCGCATGCAAGTTGGCAGGAATATTCCATGGTGGCGAAAATCATTTCTAAAATGAATTTTCGTTTCTCTAAGGTAAAGAAGATAATTTTCTTTCTAAAAAAAAAATTTTTCCGATTTTCTTTGTCTTCTAAATTCTGAAAGTTAAAGATCATTTTTAATAATTTTTATTCTGAAATAATTTTTCCAATTTTTCAACCTTTTCCAAAATTAAGAAAATCTAATACTCCGTTTTCTTTGTTTCCCCTTAAATTCAAAAGCGAATATAATAATATAATATAATTAATTTAATTCAATATGCTTTTCTTTAAAGAGAAATGCCAGAATTTCTCATCTGGCTTTTATACATTAAAATAGAACATAAATTATATGTGCAAAATTGTCACAGAGTGACTTCTGTTATTTCCTTGCATATTAGGTTACGATCAGTGGCCTTGACTCATTAAATGCGAGTTTATGGAATCACGGCCAATGTCTTCGAAATTAGAGTCTTTCCGCATTCCTCAGGAGACGTCTTGTTGACAATGCTTTTGCGTATCTGAACTACCTTGTATTAATAATTAAATTCTTAATTTTCAAAATTAAAATTTATTTTTACCAATAAATTCTTCGTTCCATTTAGTTTAGTAATTTTAACTTGGTTGATTTGGTTGTTTTAATCGAAAGGTTCGGTCAAAATTGCCCTATTATTTTAATCCATAAAATAACTCTATAATTTTACTAAACAATAATCATTGTATTCTTATTGTAAACATTTTGTTAGAAAACTAATATGTATTTGTAATTAGTTAATTTTAATAAACCTATTTATTAATGTATCTAATCTAATCTAATTTATTAATTAATAATCAATAAATAATTGTTTAATTTGTTTATTAGTAAATTAATTTTCTTTACTTAAATATATTAATTTTACTTTATTTTTTTTTGTTATTATTTTATTACTTTACTATTACTGTTGTTTTAGTTAATTAAATTAAATTAAATTAATAATTTTAATTATCTCGAAACAAGTCATAACCTGGATTAATAAAATTTTTTTTTCAATGGATGATTCTCGGTATCCCAGGTTGTGCTTTGTCAAGCTACTATCTTTGGCCAAAAGGGGTTTGAGTTGCAGATTTAATTGGATATGCCAAGTAAAAAGATACTTTTTTGATCCGTGTGGGCTTTCGGTTGAGTGGGACGCGTTGTCCTCCCAGTCTTTCGGCCTCGATGAGGAATTCGTCCTTAGAACTTACGGTAACTATATTGTTGATCGCGATAGAGCTTGTCTTTCTGCTTCGAGGAGCTTATTAATTTATCCGCATGTCTCTCTTTCACCAGGGACACAGAGTCACCTTCTTTTACACATTACATTTTATTTCAAACAAATTTTTGCTCAATGTAGACTTTTAAATCGACATATTACTCGTATTTATTTTAACAAAAAAAAGTATGTTTTCCTCCCTGACACTACTTGTTCCAGCTGTAATCTGGAAGACGAAGATCTTTTACATATTTTAACCTCTTGCCCAGCTTGCGAACACTTGTTCGAAAATTTTGTTTCCGATTTTTCTAAGAATCTTTCTCCATCTGAGAATTGGCTAAATGTTTTATCTTCTGATAACCGTACTTTAATTAAGAGTTTTGTGAGAAGTCTTATCTTTGTACTCGACGACCGTTTGTGTATGTCAGATTAACAGAAATTTGTATTTTATGTTTCTTTTTTTTGCGTGGCTCCCTTGTAGACACTGTTCGTGTCACAGACAAGTGTAATAAATAAATTTTAAAATAATTTTAATTAATTTATAATCTATTACTATTCATGTATATAATTACATATTAATTAGATTATAATAATAATAGTATTAATTTATAAATTTATTTATATTATTTTTATTTATATTACTATAATATCCTATAGTAAAACATAATTTAAGATTTGAATTAAGATTTTTACTAAGTCTTAAAATCCCAATCAAACCTATTTGATTACAGCAACCAAACCATTTTATTTCTGCGTAATAATTCATGAAATAATAATTTTTAAAACTCAGGAAGAAAAACAGAAGAACTCTGAATAAAAATAATTTCCTTGTTTTTCTCTTTTTTAAAATTTTACTAAAATTGAAAAAAAAAATTTAATTAATTATTTAAAATCTGATGAATCAACAGATTAATCATGTAGTATATCCCTGTTATCTAAATTTTATTTAATTGAAATTAACTAATTCGAAATATTCTATCTCCTCCCTTCTAGAAAAGATCGATTAAAAACGATTGAAAACAATAGGGAACAAATTTCTATCGTCCCCAATCGTGTTTCTTAATCGTGTCTTCCCAATTGAAAACGATTGATTTGAATAAATCGTCAATCGTTTTCAATCGTGTTCAATCGTCTCTTGCAAGCAATATTGTTTGACGGGAGTTTTTGAAAATTTAAAAAAGAATTACTATTGAAACGGTGTGGAAAAATAACATTGTTTTAAAGATTATTTTCCGGACTAAGAAAAATATAATATTAGTCAATGAATTTGTCAATTTTTTTTATTTTATGGTAAACTATAAATCTATGTGAATAAAGCTGCTTACAAAAAATGTTTATAATTTATCCAAAATATTTTTAATATAACTTTTGACAAATACATAAACTAATAATTTAAGAATTATATACTATCCAGGAAAATAATCTTCAAAATATAATTATCCAATCCATCAAAAACGTAAATCTGAAATCCTGAAAATAAATAACAGTACAATAAATTATCTTATCGAAGATTAAAACATTTGTTTATTTAAAAACTAGTTTAACCAAGTTAAACAATTGAAACTTACTCAACTAGTTAAACAAAATTTAAACATTTCTTATTTATGCATGTACGTAACAAATTTTTAATTTTTGGTATTTTGCAACTAGTTCAACACTGAACACAAATTTTTAATTTTTGGAATTTTGCAACTAGTTTAACACTGAACACTTTCAATAGACGCATCCATTTATGCTAACATTTACTTTATAAATGCCTACGAGACGTAACAAACACTAGGCCTGCGCAGAAAACTCGTATACCGGTATTTAGCCGGTATTTTTGGAAACCTTTTTCCTGTTTTGAAATACTGGTTTTCGGTTAAACTATAACTTTCTCGAAACGGTTTTTTTTTTAAAAAAACCTGGTATTTTAAAAATTACCGGTTTTTTCAAAAACCAAAAATCGGTTTTGGATTTTCAATACCTAAATATATTAATAGGCCTAACAAACACTACTTATAATTATAATGAAAAATATGTAATAAAATGAAATTATATGAAATTTGAAAAGTAATGAAAAATATATTAATCGCTGTCACTAGAGGGTAAATTGTCAAAAATCCTGTTCAACTCATAATTGTCTTTAGAATTTTCGTCGATGAAATCGTCTCCAGAATTTCCCAAAGCAGAGTCGTTTACAGGGTTTTCCAAGGTACCACTTTCTGAAAGATCATTTGAGCTAGAATCGTCTCCAGTTTTTCCCTTTTTGCTCTTTGATTCTTTAGATTTCTTTTCTGCAAAATAAATGTAGAATATATAAATTAGAATAATGTAGAAAACCAATTACTTCAGACCAGAAGTGATTAGTTTTTTACGTACTTGAACTTGGAGTTCTCTGCAATTCTGCAATTTTGGCAGAAATGTGACCCTTTACTTTGCTGACTTCGTTGTCGACAAAAGTATCTGAAACCTCCTTGAATCCTTCTAGCCAAAATCTTGTCATGTCTAGAATAAATTTAAATGATTTTTTTTGTAAAAATTGAAACAATGCACATTGTTATTGAAAAATATTTTAATTATTAACTATTTATCACCTATTTAAAATCTATCATGGATTTAAACTATATTTGAGTTTAAAAATAAAAATTTTTATTTTCCAATGGGGTCAAACCATTATATTTCAACTAAAGTGGTCGCTGACTAATTTTTAAAAATTATAATACTTTGCAGGAATGATTTTGAAGTTATCAAGATAACGAAATGAAAAGAATTTTATTAAAAATTTAAATATTTATTGTAAAATATGAATTTAAAGTATATGAGGTGCTAAAAACTGTCAATTTTTTAGCCATTAGAAAATATGCAAAAAAACATAGAATTTACCATAAAAATAAAAAAAAATTATTGGAATTTACTAAGAATGAATAAATTTATCATTATCAATTGATATAATTATTTAAAGATGTGAAGTAATATATAAAATATGATTTCCAAGTGCACCTGTCAAATAACCTAATTTTGCGATTTTTATTCATTAATTATAAAAAATAGAAAACATTAAATTAAATAAAAACTTACCAAATATGAAGTTCTTGCCATAAACTTTTAGAATTTCTTTGCACTTTTCTTCTTTTCTATTCATAAGTATGAAAAATTTAAAAAATAAAATAGCTACTTTGTCTATTTTCACTATTTTTGAAAGTCAATAACTTTTTTGGAGAAAAATGAAAAAATATGGGGTTTCGAAAATTATTTAAATACACACTACATATACATTCACTGAAAATTTCGCATTGGTCCCGAAGCTATTTTCGAAGATAAAGTAGATTAAAAATTTCGTATTTTTTAGGCTATATGGACATGGATTTTAAATCAATGTGAAGGTGGTTCACTGGTGACGACAAACTTCACATTGATTTAATACCTTTAAAACCCATGTCAATATAGCCTAAAAAATACGAAATTTTTAATTTACTTTATCTTCGAAAATAGCTTCGGGACCAATGCGAAATTTTCAGTGAATGTATATGTAGTGTGTATTTAAATAATTTTCGAAACCCCATATTTTTTCATTTTTCTCCAAGAAAGTTATTGACTTTCAAAAATAGTGAAAATAGACAAAGTAGCTATTTTATTTTTTAATTTTTTCATACTTATGAATAGAAAAGAAGAAAAGTGCAAAGAAATTCTAAAAGTTTATGGCAAGAACTTCATATTTGGTAAGTTTTTATTTAATTTAATGTTTTCTATTTTTTATAATTAATGAATAAAAATCGCAAAATTAGGTTATTTGACAGGTGCACTTGGAAATCATATTTTATATATTACTTCACATCTTTAAATAATTATATCAATTGATAATGATAAATTTATTCATTCTTAGTAAATTCCAATAATTTTTTTTTATTTTTATGGTAAATTCTATGTTTTTTTGCATATTTTCTAATGGCTAAAAAATTGACAGTTTTTAGCACCTCATATACTTTAAATTCATATTTTACAATAAATATTTAAATTTTTAATAAAATTCTTTTCATTTCGTGATCTTGATAACTTCAAAATCATTCCTGCAAAGTATTATAATTTTTAAAAATTAGTCAGCGACCACTTTAGTTGAAATATAATGGTTTGACCCAATGAGTATATTTTAATTTCTGACATTTTGAAATATTAAAATTGTTAAATTTATTTCTTTATTTATTTACAATAATAAATAAGTCAATAAAAATACCTTTTATCACTAGAAATCTTGTTGGGTCTAATTTTTTAATTTCCCTTTTTGAAGTTTTTTGCCTATTTCTCGGCTTTCCAGTTATGGTTGAGTTTTGTAGTTCTTCTGGTGAGAAAACCATATCGGATAATAATTTGACAAACAAGGAAGTCGATGAAGCAGTGCACGCTTCATTATATTTATATTTCGCAAGCCAAATATCTCTGCCTAGATGGATCTGAAAAATTAGGTTTTTAATATTTTCAGAGAATTATCAAAAATTTATAATAAGATAGAATTGTCTTCAATGAAATCATTTCATGAATAATCTATTAATAATGCTTATAAAGTTCTTTTTTTTATGATCAATTTCGCTTTTTTTAATAATCATTGTTATAATAAATTTACGTGGTCATCAGATGATCGAATAAATCCAATGGGAGGATAAGACGCTGATCGAGAATTCTGTCTAATGTCGAGCATTCTTGCTAAAATAATAACAAGTATATAATAATAAGTATAATTGATTTTGAAAATTTTTGTTGTGTTATTTCTTAATTACAGAAATATTTAAGTTGAAAGTTTTTATCAATTCTTAAAAAAACATTCTTTTCCAAAATCGTTACGTTTTCAAGATCAAATAATTTAAAAATGCTTATTTCAAAAAATTGAACTAGAAAAGAATTGAATATAAAATAGATAGAAATGGTTAAAGTTCTTATTATAATTTTACAACTGCGAGTAATAAATTTTTCAATATTTTCGGTAAAATGTTAATAAATTTACCTTGAAATTCGTCATAACTGGTGTCAATTTTTAATTGAAGTTCAGCATTTCTTTCCTTTTCCGCTCTAATTTCTAGTCTTTGCTCATCCACTATAATTAATTGTTGATTCAATAACCTAGTTAAATTTGCAATTGTATCTTCAGCTTTTATTATTCGCGATTTACATTCCCAGTTTGAACAATCATTTGTTGATGATTCATGATAAAGCGGAAATTCAACGAGAGAGAGTACAGGCACCATTTTATCCATAACGATATGACTATCATGTGACAGTGAATTTAAAGGTAGAGAATTTAGTTTGTTGTCAATAGGATTCAAGTTGTCATCGTTTGAATGCACTTTTTCTGCCTCTCGGTTTAGCTGAGAAAAAATACTGTGTTCAATAATTTCAGAGGGAGAAAGAATTTCATTATTTTTTGCTGCACTCGTTTTATTAATTGTAGAAGAAAAAGAATTCTCGTTCTCCGAATTCACATTTCCAACATTTTTTGACCCTGATATTGGCTGAGAAAAAGTACTTGGTTTATTAATTGTATAGGGAGAAACAGATTTATCCTCTATTCCTTGAAAACTTACAAAATTTTGATTTGAAGTACTCGGTTTATCTTTTGTAGAGGAACCAGAAGATGTAGATTTCGCTTTTTGTGAAATCTTCACTTTTCGAGTTTCTGGTAGATTTGGTTTTTGTAGAGCAGCAAGTGGAGTACGCTCTTTATTGTTTTTGGAAGGAGAAATAGGTTCTGAAATTTTCGAAGGAGTATTTTCGCTTGTCTGTGATGCTGATTGATCAGTTTTTCTTTTCTTTGGTGGAGATGGAATCACTACCATTTGATCATCTTTTAAAAGCAGATCGTTTTTCTTTTTCAAGATTAATGATTTTAACTCACCTTTTCTATCTTTTTGCTTTTTTTCCAGTTAAAAAATATATAATACAATACAAGAGTCACTTTCAGAACAAACTCGAATCATAAATTTACTTACATCAGTTTTGTGTTGGCCTGCTACATTTGCATCTGAAGATGAACATGAATCTAAGTATTTTTCATTGAACCGTGCTCGCTCTGTTTTCACAATTTCTTTTAATTCGTCAAAAGATCCTGGAGTAAAAAAATAACTTGGTTTTGTAATTTTAGGCAAAAATGTTTCGTAATTTATTCAAAACACATAAGAGTCCGAATTTCTATTTTTTTAAATTCCAGATAATCGTTTTAAAACTCAAAAATACCTTTTTTTGTCTTGGAACGTAGTTTACAAAAATAATTCTTGTTATAAAAAATTTTTAATTTTAATGTATTTCGGAATTGTTTTTCTATAAAATATTATTAGAAATTATGTTTTCCATGTCTTATAAAATTTTTTAAAATTGTTTAATAAAATAATTTACTATTTATTTAAATTTCATTTTTATGCTTTGCTCGTAATTTAAAAAAAAAGAAAAAACCGCCGATTTTACCCTATTTTTTAGTACATTTTAAGATAAAAAAAATTCTTTTTTACATTTTGAAATCGATCAACTGGATTTCAAGAAAAAAATTTTTAATTTAAGACTGTTAAAATATTAAATTTTTCATAACTTTAACAAATTTTTGTTTCTAAAAATTTAAGAAAACTTATTTAATCATATAAGAGTTAAAAATGATTTATTGTTGAAAATTACAATATATTTTCTTGTAATTTATCCGTTTCAGAAATTCTGACGAAGTTAAAACTCACAACGCTTACCATCAACGATTGATCAGAAAATTAAAATTATAAAATTTTTGGACTTAAAATTGTTATTTTCAAAATTGTTGAGAAAAAAATTTGTTGAGAAAAATTAAAAAGTATTAGAAAAAAATTTATTTCTAATCGTTGATCGCAAACGTTGTGAACTTCAACTTTGTAAACTACAAACCTATGTGCGTATTTTTATATAATTTCAAATCATGTCTTATTGTTTTAAAACTACCTATATCTCAAACAAATTCAGAAGTTAAAATTTTGCTAATTTTGATGTCCCTAAATTTTTAACGTTCAAATGAACAAATTTATTTTTGCTGCTTTTTTAAGTTTGAATTTTATTACAAAATATTACTTTGCATATTAAAAAAATTCAATATTTATCTAATAACTGTTGAATTTATATTGTATTTCTTATTAAAGTGCAATAATTGTTGAAAATGTTTAAACAAAAAAACATGTCGTTCAATTGAACGTTCAAAAATTTGGAAACATTACTTTTGCCAGAGATTTAAAATTTCGTTATTTTTTCTCTGAATCTTTTAAATAAATTACATAAACTATTTAAAATAAATTGAATTGTAAAAAAATACCAATTTACTGAACTCAAGGACGTTAAAAACTGTTTATTATTTTAAATAAATCAAAAAAGACAAAGAAATAATTAAACATTTTAAAATTGTATTTTTCTAAATAATTAAAAAGTTAATGTTTTATAAATTAACAAATTAACTCTTGGTAAGGTGACATTTTTTCAGAAATTAATAATTTTTCAAGAAAATATAAGGAAAAAAACTGAATTTTGTATAGTTTTTAGGTTATTTAGATTTACAAGCATTAAAAATTTATATGCCTAATTTTCAAGGTTAGGGCGTCGCATAATTTAATCCACATTTTATAAAGTATAAATATATCTTTACCTGAAACAAACAGTATTACTGCAGAGAAGAAAGTTTTTTCATCCTCTCCACAAACTTTGTACTTTTTAGTTTTATTTACTTGCTCAGGAGAGTCAGCTTCAGGAGGATGTCGAAAATCTGAATCACTCACAATTCTCCTTGTACCCCTTAAACTTCCCGACAAGAATTGAACGTAAAAAAACATATTTAACTTATAACGTATTGTATTTAGATGAGTAATTAATAAAACTTTTTATAAACTTTATACAATAACGCATTCACCCGCGATAACAGTTCACGTCATAATACGGCCGGCAAAACGTGATTCAACAAGCAAAATATAACCAAACCTAACCTTAAACTGCTCTGAAGTGCGTGAACTTTGCGCGAGTGTTCAATATATCGTTCGATATTTTTGTTGTACCTGTTGTGTACAACTTCAGTTCACATACATCTTGGGATTTTGAGCAGGATGAAACCTTTTGGTTTCTGATAAAATTTTTATTTGTTTTGTGCTTTTTATTAATTCTTAACACACAATTACAATTCTTCGACAATTAAAGGTCAAGGTAAATATAATTTTATTATATAAAACTACTTAGAGTATATAAATCGTCTATAGTAAAGAAGAATCATTTTTAAGGTTAGAATCTTTGTCACGTGTTGGTAATAATACTTATTTTCTGTTATCGTTTTTATGTCAAATATAAAGGTATTAATTATTTTTCATTTAAAAAAATTTGCACTCCTAGTTATACCATAATTTTGTGAAAATAATAAAATTTTTACATGGAGAAAAAATGCTTCGTTTTTACAGGTTATAAAGGGTTTTCCCCACCCCTATTTCGTGGTTTTCCAACATGTAATTTTAAAGTTACTATCAAAATTTTGATAAAATTTTTAGGATACATTCTTTTTTTTATAATGACATTAAAAATGATTTTTCGGATGTATTCGATTTTTTTCAAAAACAAAATTTGCAACCGGTTCAAGTAAAAAAAAATCGGACAAGTGCGAGTTACACTCGCATAAAAACCGAGGGTTCCGTACCCCTAATCCTAAAATTTGAGGGGTTTAAAGTGTGAAGGCCGATGGAAAAATTCCAATTTTGCTTAATTTTTCTTGTAATGTGAGCATGGAAATACATATCATAAGTTTTTAAAAATTTTTTAATTTTTTTATCATTTAACATGTTCAATTTTATGATTTTTTTAGATTTCACCAATTAATAAAAATATCAACAAATAAAAAATGTCAAAAGATAAAAAAAATAGCAAATGGTAAAAAAAAGAAAATGGCAAAAATGGCAAATTATAAAGAATGGCAAAACACTACAAAAAAATATAGCAAGCACAATTGGAGTTCTCGCTATATTTTTTTTGTAATCTACACGCAAAAATACGTAAAACTGTATAAATTTGAAACTCTTCAGATAAAATATTCTTCGTTTTTTGAGGAAAAATCATGATTTTTATCGAAAATTATCAGTTTTTCCTTGAAAACACTATGATAATTAACTCCAATCGTTCTCGCTGTATTTTTTTTGTAATCTACAAGTAAAAATACGTAAAAAAGTATAAATTTGGATCCCTTAGGATAAAATTTTCTTCTTTTTTTATTCGAAAAATCCATGATTTTTTCTAAAAATATGAGTTTTCCTTAAAAACAATATGAACATCAACTCCAATTGTGCTCGCTATATTTTTCCTGTAATCTACACGCAAAAATACGTAAGTATACCAAATATGAACTGCCTTCGTCAAATATTGTGTGCGCTAGGAGGATTAATCGCTTTTTTTCAAAATTTTTTATTTTTCCTTGACAACGCTATGTAAATTAATCCGAATCATGTTCGCTATATTTTTCCTGTAATTTTCACGTAAAAATACATAAGTGTACCAAATTTGAGCTCTCTATGTAAAAAGATGTGGCAACCAGGGGGGGGGGTACATAGTCATTTTTAGGGATTTTTCGTAAAAATTCATGGTTTTTCCTTGACAACGCTATGATAATTAATTCCTATGAGATTCGCTATATTTTTCCTGTAATCTACACGCCAAAATACATATGTATATCAAATTTCAGCCATCTAGATAAATTCGTGTGGCCGCTAGGGGGGGGTACATGCCTTGCTTCACTAGTCTCATGCATGGAAACGTCGTATTGCACAATCGTCCATGCGAAACCCACCAGTTCTTATTCAAAGTCAAGAACGTAAGAATATTAAATATTATATTTTAATTTATTAAAAATTATAGGTGTTTTCAACTCGTTGTATAAGCCTATAAGAAAAAATAGTTTTTTTGACCAACCAATTAAATTCTTTTTTTACTTTTTGATTATTTGTTTTGTAAAAGTAAACAAATCTAGTTTCTACATTTTTCAAAAATACGTTCTTTGATAATTAACAAACTTTTTACATTCATTCTATATTTTAAAAAAATATTTATAAAAAAACTTAATATTATTTTATTCAAAATGTCGTGTGTACCTCGGACGCACGCAATTCTCGTCCTCGCTTGATTTTACAGTCCTCGGCTTCGCCTCGCGGACTACAAAATCAAGCTCGGCCGAGAAACACGCGCTTTGCGTCCTCGGTGCAAAATATACTATTTCACTGTACTAGAATTTTTAATAAACTAAAATGTATCTATACTATTTTAGGTACACAAGCAATGGATATCGACGATTCAGGCTCTAGCGATTCTCAAGAGGAAGAGGTATATCCGCCGTCTTCAACAAGTGAAGATTCCGATGAAAGTGACGATGGGCAACTTTCTTCAATTGGTTCAAGGGGTGAACATAATCCCGATCCTGGTAATATTGGTGACATTATCGAACCAGCTGTTTTGAACGAACCAATTATTAACGAAGAAAATAATCCAGTGCCTGAAGGTAATTTCAATTACAATATCAATAATGAAGCCTTAAATGATCGTTTGAATATCGAAGATGAAATCCACTTTGGTGATGCAAATAATGAAAACCGTCGGACAAGATATCTCTGGGAGAATTTAATCTTCTTTCCTCAGTCAAATTTGAGCGTAAAAGATGTGTTAGCTATGACTAGAGGCTTTAGCCTCAGATTTGGCCTTTCATTGGAAGGTCGTTTAGCTTTAGTCAATTTATTGAAACTATGCGCCGGTCCTGATTTTGATAATTTAAACCTGTCAAATTATTTGATTTCTCGCGTATTTGAGCCTGAAGAAAAAAAATTAACTTTCTGCTTTTACTGTCCCGAATGTAAAGCAAATTTAATTTCAACCCACAATAAGAAAATGAACAACCCCGATGGTCTTTGCGATAAATGCGGTTCAAGGTGTAACTTATCCACAATGAAGGGAAAATATATTTTAATGGTTGATTTAAAATATCAAATTGAAAAGTTGTTTAAGCTTGATGATGTAAAAACTGCATTACTAGATTTACATAGGGGACAAAATCGCGTTATTTCAGAAAACAATGTTATTAGAGATTTCCAGGACGGATCATTGTATAAGAATGTTAATCCTGCGAACGCTAATGATATTTTAACTTTGAATGTCTTCTTCGACGGAGCAGTCATGAAGCGAAGCGGTACTGAAAATTTTTGGGCAGCTCTAATTCAAATGAATGAATTACCTATCGCGCTTCGAATGAAATTTATCATATTGTCAGGATTAATGATGGTCTCTAAAGAACCTCAACCCGATTTAATGAATACGTTCATAGAGGAACTTATAAAACAAATTGATTTGATTAATGAGAATGGAGTTGATCTAAAAATTGGCGGTATCACTTTAAATTTTAAATTCAAGATTTTGTTTGTTGTGGCTGATTCGGTTGCTCGCCCTATACTTCAATTTCGAATTCAATACAATGGATTTTTTGGATGCAGTTGGTGTTACCAAAGAGGAATATACACCAACTATGTTAGGTACCTCTTCGATCCTGACTTTCAAATTAAAACATATGAATCACACAAAAGAGATGTTGACTCTGTGCGCGCAAGGCAAGCAAGAGCAGTTATTAGAAGTATTAGGGATTTACGCAAAACTTTTGTTAATGGAGTAAAAGGCCGATCTAGTTTTTTAAATCTTATTCAATTTTTCGACATGATTTGGAGTTTTCCTTTGGAATACATGCATTGCATTCTTATTGGAGTTGTACAACATTTGTGGGATTTATGGATTAAGCTTGGTTATCTGTCACAGAAGGATATAGTAAAAATTAATGAACTTTTAAGTTCACTCGAAACGGTCCTCGAAAATCACAGAGTAATGCGAGAGTTTTCTTCCAAGGCCAAATGGAAAGCCACCGAGTGGAGATGTTGGCTTCTGTTTTTTGGCGTTCCCTGCTTTAGAAGAATTTTACCAGATAAATGTCTTGAACATTTCGCGCTACTCGTTAATACTGTCTTCACTTTGTTAAAAACAGAAATCACACCACAAGAACTTCTAAAATGCGAATTAGACATGGTGCAATTTGTTGGAGACTTTGAGGGTTTATATGGGAAAAATTCAATAACTTTCAACGTTCACATTTTACTTCATTTGGTTGAATCTGTTCGTCGTTCAGGTCCTCTCTGGGTAACTTCCGCTTTTTGTTTCGAAAGTCATTTACACGTTTTAAAGCAGTATGTCTTAGGTCCTAAAAAACCGGAACAACAAATGGCCACGAAAGCTCTCGAAATTTTGGATTATAAATTTCAAACGTCCACCGAGATTTTCCATTCAGAAGTTGCAAGGCAGTATTGTGAACAAATCTTCTCTGTTGCTCCGTTGTCACAATTTGCGACAAGAACTCCTTATGGCGTAACTTTTTTTGGGAGAAATTCGCGAATGGAAATTGAGAATCCAGTAAATGGGGAACAATTGGAAGGATATTCTTTCAATAAATGCATTTATAGAGGAGTTGTTTATAAAAGTATTAATAATACACTCTCTACTAAACGCAATGACACCGTATTTATATTGCGTTCTGGAGATGTCATTCAAATTCATGACATTATTCAAACAGCCGAAACATGCTATTTGTCAGTCGTTAAGTTCCGTGTAATTCCAGATAAACTCGTTGGGCACCTGTATAAAATTGAACAAAAAGAAAATGAGACTCGCTTGATCTCAATAACAGAGGTTTCAGAAAAATTAATTTATATTCATTGTGAAAAATCCAGTTATGTTTGTCGACTTCCGCAAAATATTGAAATTCAATAGATGTGGTATGCAAAATTTATTGTCTACAATAAAAAATCGAAATATTTCGATTGAGACTCCATATTATTTGGGAAATGTATTTTTACTTATCAGTGTAAAAATCTGTGTACGATAAAAACAAAAAATCTGTGCCGAATATTCTGCGTTGTACACATAATTTATGTTCTATGTATAATTCTTAAGACTGCGTGTAAATAAATATTTAATCTTTTCGTAGTAAATATATCGGTTAAGAAAAGAAAATATGTCATCGAAATTGATATGAAATACAAAAGCAAAGGTTTGTACTCAGCGTTTGTACTTAATAAAAAAATTATTTTCATTATAATCGTTTTACATTATTTTATTGTGAGACAATTATTCCTAATTATTTATAAATTTTACATATAGCAGTGTAGACGTAAATCACATTTTTGGTATGAACATACAAACTAAGTACAATTTAATAATTAAAATAATATAATAATAATGATTTAATTTTTAAAATTTATTATTTTGTTTCTTTTATATAATTTCTTAATTTACAGACTTCTATCACTGAACTAATGAAATAAAATGGGTTTTATAATTATATGTAATTTTTATTCTTTTCGTAATGTAACAAATAATTTAAGAATTATTTACTTACCAATTCATTTTTCTCTTTGAATTTTATCGATTTAAAACAATTCAAAATATTCACACTATTGAAAACCATAGAAATTTATTATAAAAAAACTATTTATTATTTTTAAACTATTTATAACTATTGTAAACTGTAAATTATCTTAAAAATATATTGTAATTATCATCAATTGTAATAATAATAAAATTAAATTGCTGTTAACTCTAAATCGTTTTAAATCTTGTTTAATCGATTTTTTCTAGAAGAGAACTTATGCGCATGCGCGTGTCGATTGAGAACGATTGAGAAAAGGTTTAACTTATTTACACAATTAAAAACGATAGAAACCGATTCAAAAAATGTTAACTACGATTGGAAACAATTGAAAACGATTAATTAATTGTCGCCCCTGAATCGTTCTCAATCGTGTTCAATCGATAATTCACTGAAATAGTAACATTTCTTTCGTTTCCTGTTTTTTTTAACTTTTTATATGGAAATTTAAATTTCGTTAATGCAAAATTTCTAAATTTTTCCCGTATAATTTTCCTCTTCAATTCAATACTTTTCATGTGTGAAAAGTAGTATATATTTTATTCATTTTAAATGCATTGTGATCTATCTTGCAGTTGGGACAATTGTGGATCAGTCACCCTGACGGTCATTTTGATAACTGGGCGACGTTTACGGGAAGGCAGGTAAAGGTTACGTGGTGTTGCACCATAATCATCCCTGCACAAAGCACCGTAAATACAAGTGTGCCTATACACACCTCTCCTCAACAAATTAGAAAATCCCAGCAGCTCCTCTTTTCAAAATATCGATGAAAACATTATTTTTTTTCAAAAACAGTAATGTTGCAAATTTTATTTTATTATATAAACAACTATCGATAATAATATGTATTTACACTTCGAATTAGTATGTCTAGTAACATATATACATGTAGAGAAGTTAATAATTTTTTTCATCTAGAGGTGCCGAGAAGAAAATTCAATTACGGCCTTTTGTAATTGAATAACGTAAAACGGGTCATCGATCGAATTCAACTTGTAACGATTCCAATATACTAAAAATTCCTTGTGAATTGATTCACCGACTTGTTCGGACCACAGTCCAAAGCCATCATTATCATCCAAAAATGACAAACATTGCAAAATATGATTCAGAATTATATGAATTTTCAGCGATTCGGATACATCAGTTGCATCAAAAAATTTCTTTAAATCTTCAATATTTTTAGCAAGATCTACATTATTTTTTCTGGTAGTTGAAAAACAACTATGAACAACTTCGTTCATTTTCTTGAAGGATGCCACAAAAGACTTCTAACAAATGCAGTTCTGGCACCATACACTTCTCAATCACTTTAAGGTCATCATTTTCTTCAAAAATAGGCCTTGTTTATTGTACTGTGAAAGTTCATCGCATTTTTTTTTCGCCGTGGCACACGTATTTTTCGTGGTCTTGTTTGAGATCGCCGTACGTCTTCAACTTGTCCACTACATTTTTTTTCTCTGATGATAGTTTCGATGAGCTAACTAAAATTTGATCCTCGGCGTCAACAAATTCTTTACAGCCTGACATCTCTAGTAAACACTGACATTGAAATTTTGAAGAAACCTTGACCCAAATCTGCCATAATTTTTATGCAATAGTTTCCAATTAGATTACGATTATCTACGACCGCTTCCAGTAATTCTTCGCAATCGGCATACACAATTGGCCTATTTTTTTTAGCACTGATCCCTTCAACATCAAAGATTCAACAGCCTACTTTATATAGGTCTTTTAAAATCTTGCCCTTCTCAATCGCGTGATTTCTGTAATTCTTAGGAATTGCTTTTTTTCCAGCGTTGCAACGTATGAAATTTTCCAAATTTCTCATTTTACTTGAAGATAATCCCAGATTATTTTGAAAATTATCCAATTTCTGAGTAGTAGAAACCGTTTTTTTACTTTCTTTTGGATTCAGAACTATTGTTGTATCGTATCGGCCAAAATTTTGCAGTTTCAACTTTTCTGGTTCAAATGACGATGATTCATTAATTTTATTTTTTTCTTTCAAAAGAGATACTACAACTTTATCTTGAACATTTTCGGGAAACTTCATTACTATATTTCGTCAATTATCCACCAAATCATGATTATTATTATTGCAATTATGACGCAAGCCTTTGCAAGTTCACCGCAACAAATTTTACAAATTTTAATATCTTTTTTTTCAGGTGTTTCAGAAACGTTTGTAGAATTAGAACTGTTTTTTGTGATCGAAGCTGCATAGAGACCATTTTCCGCATTTATCTCACTTTCGAATTTTCGTTTACAACCCTTACCTATAATTTTGCTTTTGAATGAGTGGTAGATCTTGCCGTTAAACAAATATAGCAGTTGCAAGGTCCTTTTGTATTCCTTGTTTCTTTCTGCAGCTGTATATTTTCATAGTTCGGAATTTTAATTCGAGGCCTATTGGTTATTTTTTTCTCGTATTCTTTAACGGTAATGCGACACGTATTACACCAAGCCAAAGGATATTTTGAATTTTCTAATTTGAACAAATTGTCAACGTGTCGCTGAATTAGAATTTCATCCTCTTGATTAATTTTGAAAAAGCTCAATTTTTTAGAACCACAAACTATTTTTCTTCCGCATGGGCCGCAAACTTTAAATCTGTTATCTTCGTGATCACAGAGATTCGTCGGCATTTTAGAGCAAAAATAACAACAAGAAATGACTTACAGATCTAGAAAAATTGAATTAACTAATTAAAAAAGATAAAAATTATACTTGTAACGTAGTTTTTTTAACCCCAAGTGATAAAAAAATTTCTGAGGGTTTCTCAGAATATTTTTTTGCACAATACGTAAAATAACATTTAAGAAAAGAGAAATAAATTGTATGGTTGATGTCTTTTTACTTACCTCGTATTTTCTAATTACATTATTATTTCAATATCGACAAATCAATCATTAAAATATCATAATAAACACGGATCAATATAACTTTACATTACATTAGGTTAGCTGAGTAAACACACTTCAACAAATGAACCACGTCTGTGTCTCATATACACTTTCTTTTTGTATCATTTTATTTTAATATATCAAACAATTTTTTAATTCCTTTTTGTAAAAATATTTTTCAGTAATAATTATGAAAATTTAAAAATATTTTTAAATATATGTACCGATAAATATATGAATACATGTATAATAATAGCACATTCGCTGTTTTTCGATTAATATCAAACGTTTTTATTTATATTTTAAAAAGAGGAGCAGCTGGGATTTTAAAAAAAATTGCATTTAGCAATTTTTGATGTGCTTAACAAAATGCAACCATAATTTTAAGTCGTCATTTTAATGAGTCTTGAATTTGTTGAGAAGATGTGTGTATAGGAGGATGAGTGACCCTAGGAAAAGACTGTCCTCTTTTGTTTCCTTTTGTATGGTGGAAAGCAAAGTATAAAATGACTGTTTATCATAAAAACAAAACTGTTGTTTCAAAATTATTTTTGTTGCTCCGATGAATACCATGAATCATTCCTATGAACTTGCAAACATGAAAGATATTTTCTTCTAAAAAAAAAAAAAAATTTCCCTTTCTAAAAAAAAAAATTTATAGAAATATCAGAATTCTTTAATACTCGTTTATTCAAACCTTTTTATTTTTTTGTAAAATTTATTTTTGTTAAGTAAGATTATAACTAAAAATTCTCATCTTCAAAATTTTATCGTATTCAATTGAATAATATGGATCTTTTCGATTATTAGATACAAGGGTTGTGACGCTACCACCATGAAAATGAGATAATGGTTAAGCACCTAATCATTGTCTCCAAACAAATTGAAATTAACATACCTTTGTTTTTAGATCACTGAGAGATGACCCCCAATTACCTATGCTTTACCTCATAACCAGGGGCCAATTCTCGAGATGTCGGACTGAGGGTGCCATACTTAGGGTTAAGCCTGGCAGAATGTCTTCTGTCTTCTGAAAAGGGCTCGCTTGACGCCAGGAAGCTGTTGGGTCAACATCATAATCTAAAATGCCACCAACTGCATTTTAGATCCTATACGATCCTATACGGTAATCGAGGTTAAACTATAATCAAACCTAACCTCGACCAAAATAAAGGTCAATCAACTGCAAATCGGCCTTGATTAGGCCGAGCCTACAATCCTGCCACATCATAACGGCAAGAGTTACTTTGGACTCATGTTACAACGATGTCACCACTGGTAGAACTCTATCTAAAATTTTCACGTCAACCAACATCTGGATCTTCCGAAGACAACTGTCATCTCACCGATAAAATAAGGTCTAGTGCTAATGTAATTGTTGAATTATATCATTTTGTTAAAAAGAAGATCGAATGTCGTCTCATATCTGCACACATAGGTACCTAATTTTACTCATGTGTACAGATATAGGTATATATATATGCCAGCATGTTTGAAGATAAAGTTTTTTTTCCAATTTTTTAATTTTAATATTTTTTTTACCTTTGGAATATTTTGGAATATAATTCTGTGAGTAATTTATATCATCTAAAACGAAAAGAGACTTTCGGTGCAACATTGTGATAAAAATCAACAATGATTGTTATATACGTGAGAAAAGTCTTCGGTTTCAAATAATAATATAGCATGAAAATAAACGCCAACGGT